ATGATTTTGAAGAATTTCTTCCTTAGAAAGGGAACTATGAGTATAAGTTGGAATACCAGTTGTAGAATTAAATCCAAGTTCTTCTAAAATATAATTTATATAATGAGCCTTACAAACAAAGACAATGTTGTTACCTGCTTTGTCAGCAAGGACCAGTACGTACTGATCATATCATATATCTAATTCTTTTTTCACTTCTGGATTATTGAATACAGAATGACAGATGATTTTCATTTTGTCCCTCAATCTTTTAACACGCTATAGATGTTTTCTAATTAAGTAAATGGAGGTCAAAAGATGGACATTTTATTGGGAAAAGAGGTCCGAGGAAAAAAGCCTTTCACGTCACTACCTATGAAGTTAGAGCTAGATCTAAATATACGCACAATGAAATGCAAATGCATTTAGAAAGTTCAAAGAATTTTTAATATAGTTTTAAAGCTAGACAATTCACCAAAAGTTTGGAGTATACCTGAAATAAAACGTTCAAATGAGAAATTTAAAGACTTATGGATAGCCTGGAAATGAGACTGAAAAGTAACATCATAACGTTCGGTGATAGACAAAATCTATTTTCTTATATATATTTTAAAAGTATTGCTTATATCTAAGAGAAATATTTGGACAAAAATTCTAAAAATAATGGTATAAGTACAATAGTTTCCGTTACTTCCCGATCATGACAAGGAGCACACGGCGGGTGTGACCGGCCGACAGGGGATGCTCACCCCTTCATGGCCTCTAATCCCACCTCTGATGTTTTGGAGGTTCGTGTTTGCTCTGCTCCTATTTTGTATTGATTTATAGATTTTTGAGCTTGAATACTGTTCGTTATGTCCATAACATGCATTATTATTATAAGAATTTTTTCTCTCATATGGAGACTCCTTTCAAGTTCGTAAATACAGTCTGTTCGTTATCTCCATATATTTCATAAAAATGCACTATCTCCTGCACTTTTACGTTCGTCATCTTTGTTCTGATTTGAACAAATGTATATATATTTGTTGCACTTTAGCTATTTCTTTATCTGTTGCACTTTTCCAAGTTCCATTTATGAACCGAAAAACAAATAGAAAACGTCAAATAACTGCGTTTTCTTTGCTTTTGGTGTTACAAATACCTTTTCTCTTTGGCATTCTAGGCAGCCGATGGTCAGTTTCTTCCAGCCTATTTCTATATATACTCCCTTATCATAAGTGCAATTGCTAATCAAAATCTCAACTGATGACACAAAATAAAAACAGGACAAACGAAATGACTAGGGGGGTCTCCGCCCAACCTGTCGGAAACTAAAGTCAGATAAGACTGTCTTAATATTCTGATAATGAGAACAGAGTTTTTGTCAATATTTGACAAAAATTTAAACGTGAGTATATGACGCAAATTTTGTCGGCAAACATGAATACCAAGGCCTTTCACACTCTTGGTAGATAAAAGTTAGGTGGAAGATACTGGTGACATAGTATTGCTTTGTACATCTCTTGCTGATGAAATGCGGTATAATTTTATTCTTTAAAAAATGTTAATTTTAAATGATATTTATAAAATGGCATTTTACTAGTATATAACAAATTATTTATTTTTCAGATATTGATATCTTTTTCCTTTCGTCATTTGTATATTAGCGGCATGTGTTGTCAGGTTTCATAACTTGATTTATTATTATCGTACATGTATAAGCTTTTTGACGATTTCTAGAATCCCTTTATTTCTTGTGCAGATTTACGTACTTATTGTTATTTTTTAATTTATACAAAATTTTGTTCACAAATAAAAATTAATTGGATTTTGCAGCAGGCAAAGATATTTTAGTCCTCTCTTTTCAACAAGGTTGAATTTGATTTTTTTTTCTTTCATTAATTAAAATTTCCTTAACTTACAAGGTAAAAGATATAAAACTTATGTGGAGCAAGTTATTTCATTATCGTATTTTATACGTATAAAGAAAAAATATATTTTTAGTTAAAAAGGCTAATAAAAAAGAAAATAATTCGAAAACCATATATGGCGACTGGTGTTTTTTTTATTACGTAGAAGAATTCTTGGTTAACACTACAGGACTTGCACAATACACAGTTATAACGATAAAAAATTCTTGTATTGCTTTGACCTAGCACTGAAAGGACTTTATACGTACAGAAATGATTGACCTCCACAATGCATGTTACTCATTGGAAACCGAAGACAGTTCAGACCCTCTCGTAACCTTCCATATACTTTTGAATTCAACCGTAAGAGATAAAGTTCCATATATAGTTTTCAATGTTAAAGGTGTCATTTACTAGTCCTTACTCTACATGTATATCTCTTCAAAATTGTTTCCTTTTTTTCTCTGATTCCTCGTCTAGTTTATCATAAATTTACCCGGATGATGCTTGCACTTCGTGAAATGTTATGGTTTGTTTTCATTGTGCATGAAAGGGGGAAAACATTACATTTTTTCTATTTAAAATTAGGTAACATTTTATTAATGTTCTACTTTTAGCAGAGCTGAGTGAATCATTTTAATATTTTACGTCGTGAAACTTAAAAAAAAAAAATCATTTCTTTCCAATTCAGCTGTGAGTAATTTTCAAACTTGTAGGTTATAGATTGCATATATATGCCTGATAAATATTACCTACTTTCGCCGATGCACAACTCTGCACCAAACATATGTTAAATTCTCAGACCTTATAAATGACCGAATCTTTTACTGAGCAAAATGAACTTGAAATTTTTAGAAACAGTTAAAGTTTAATAATCATATTTGACAAATGGATCGGATATTTTTAATTATGAAGGTCATGACTTCCATTATCTTGTAGTAGGAGTGACAAACATGTGACTCAAACAAATTAATGTTCGAAACTTTCAACTATTGGACAGGCGTAACTTAAAGAAAGATATGTTATTTACAGGAAAAATTGTTTTGCATTATTTATCTACTCGAATGGTATTTATATGAACGTGACAACAAATAATTAGGGGGGCGGGGGGTTATATGCCCCCATTAATCGTAGTTTAAAATATCGTGGTCTGTGTCTCAACTTATTTGCTACGCGAGAGCTTGCTCTGAATATGATCAATTCTTAAAGCGAGGATTGCTGCTGACTTATAAGTTGATGTTACAGGGTATTCAACAGCCAAATCAGTATATCTCGTAAACGCTTTGGTCGTTATAATAACCTTGTTGTCAGATATAATTTAACACTGGGTCGTATTTCGGCTACATGACTTGTTTTATGCCAATTGTATGGCTTTGTTTTTAAAATGAATTTGAAAACAGGAAGTTCCGTCTACCAGATCAATACATAGGGCGCACGGCAGGTGTGATCGAGCAACAGCGAATGCTTGTAACTCCTCGTAAGCACCTGACCACTTTTGAATAACTATGTCAAAAGTGTTTTAAAATTCATTTAAAAAATATCGCCTCTATTCAACTAGTATTAAAATTGCGACTATTATTGAAATAGCTGCATTGTATTTCAAATGTTAATGTGGTGAATGTAGCATTTCAAAAACAGCTCTACATTACATTCTATCAACTATGGTTATAAGAGTAATTTTAGCTAAACCTTTCAATAGTGGTTACTACCAGTGTTTTGTATTGAAATGCACTCTCGCCCACTATTGAAATAATTATTTCAACAGTGGTCGTATTTCAGTAGTGGTTGCAACAGTGCACAATGACACTATGTAATTAAGAATCTTTGAAAATCTCATTGAATTTCATTCAGTTGTGGATAAGAGGGTGGGCACCCCAAAGCAGAACGGACGGACGTATAGACGGTCGGACATCCCGGTCACTATATACCCTCCCACTTTGCAAGCGGGGGGATAATAATTTCTGCAAAGCTCTCGAAATGATACTTCTGTACGTATCCAGTTCAATAATGTGCAATGTGTTAGTTCTCCTCGGAGAAAAGACCTGGGTAAAAAAATCAATTTATTTACAACAATCAAACCTTTTTTGGGCGTTATCTAAAAACGGTGGAAAGAAAGACGTCATTATAATGAAAATAGAGATTTAATTAATTCCCAATATCTCATACTATATGGTGTAAATCTATGTTTCAAAGTTATGACTTTTGCAGTTATCTTTCTTTCCTCGATAGCTCTAACTTTACTGTCATCCAAAAAATTGGCTGCATGGAAAGATATCTTTTTTTTATATCCCCACTTGAAAAGTGTGAGGGTATACAGTGATCGGTATGACAGTCCGTCTGTTACGCTTTGTGGTACCTAGCTCTTGTCCGCAACTCCTCTTTGCCACTGAACCAAATTTAATGATACTCTTGCAGAATCTTTGTTAAATGGTGCAGTTATGCACCTCCTATTTTACTTTTTGGTTTTCAATGCAAAAGATGGACACAGCCTTCATTCTACAATATTGAAGGGTATCCATCTCATATCCGCAACTCCTCCTTTACCATGGAATAAAATTTTTAATGACATTTTCAGATTCTTCAGTACGTAATGCCATTGTGCACCTCTTAATTTACTTTGTGATCTGACACTTATTTCGATTCTCCCAAAGCAAAAATTAGTATCTTCATATTTTAAATTTGTATATAATTTTCATATAAAAATTTAAATTGAAAAAAAAAAATTGTTAAGTACTTTCAAAAGTGAACGTTTTTCCTCTTCATCCGAGAATTATTTCGTCTCAATTAAAAGTCAACGTATTATCCCTAAATTATTGCAGGATTCTCTCAAATAGCCATGTCATCGTCTCAAGCCACGGTTCGGAGTCCACATATATAATACACGTAGCTCTCCGAAAAAAGACCGTACATCTTGGCCTTCATTTGCGACGAAGATAGCCATGCGTGATTTCATTTTTCCCTTACCTTTTCAGGATTTCCTTGTTTTTCATTGATTGAGTTTAACGAACTACAATTAACGGTTGGAAAATCCTCACTTTTGTCATTTCAAATATCATCAGTATTAAATTTTAATTAAATTTGAAACATTCAAATATTAACCAATTTTTTTTTTTAAAAATAAAATTTATTTTCAAGGAAAAAAATCAAATTGATCAATTTTCAGACTGTACTTTCAAGACAAAAAAAACATTCTTCTCATGTAGAGCAGGCATTTTGAAGAGTTTTACAAAAATCAAAAAGCGAAGAAATTTCATTTTGATAAAGTCAGTTGTAAATAAGTATTTCTGCATTCTTTAATTAAGGATCTCATCAATGGTTGCACATCCAAAGTCTGAGAGCTACAAAAACTGTGGCTAACAGGGGAAAATTCACGTTATATATGCATCCACCATTATCTGAAAAAGAAAAGTTTGAAATATAAGTTAAAACATATAGTCTAGTATACTAGTATAGAAAAAAAATATGATGAATTTCACTGATAATTATAAAAGGTTCTAAAAGAAGACCTGTCACCATTTAAAAAAAATAAATAAAATAAAACAGTCTCTTAGCAACCTGCATGATGACGTGTTGCATTTAAACTTCTTGAAGGAAAAGGAAGTTGAAGGCATGTAAAAAAAAAAAATCCTGTTCGACTTTTTTAGTCTAGTAGAGATATTTTCCACCAATTTTTTTTTCATACTTTTCCCCAAATTGCTCATTGTCCAAAAATTATGTTAGGACCCAAAACGGCGGCCTCTCATTGCCATAAATAAAAAAATCTTGTAATAAAATGCTGCAATCGATACCAAATAAATGTCGAATTGTTTTGTTTCATTGTGAAACATGCATGGGAAATTAAACAGGGATTTTTCTTAAGGAAGTACTGTCTAGTCTGATGGTATGCCAGGGACATCAACGATAGTTGGAAATTTTGGATAATTTATGCATAACGGACAGCCCGTTATGCATAAATTACCCCCACGTTTCCAACTATCGTTGATGCCCCTGGCATACCATCAGACTAGACAGTGATTCCTTATATTTCCAATTCATTGTGAAGTAACATTTATGATTTAGATTTAAACAATGTTGTCTAATAGATTTAAATTACACGAAGCCTTTCATGTCAAATTCAAAAGTCCTGCCCACTGACGTCAGACACAAAGACAGACGCACGAGATCTCAGCTCCTGACATTTCGCTTGGCAAAATTTACATTTTGGTTGAATTATAGAGAAATCAATTCACCTAACTTTCAAAGTTATCACAGAGGAACCAAACAGAGATGGAAATATATCATTTTTAGAGATTAACTTATTGTGACGTTTGAATTGATTCGAAAAGTAATTCATTGAATTTGAAGGTGATCAATGAAAATTTTAAAGAATGGTTATTAAAAGAAAAAATTAATTCTTTCCGATTTTGCGATCATCTTAATTGTGTAAAATTATATCTTCGTTAAATTTGAAATTGCTGTTGCTGCCATGTCAATATACTAAATGTACTTAAACTCGATGGTTCCTATCAAAGCAGAAGATTTGGGGGAAAAGAAAAATCATGGACAAGCTAAAATCAATTTGAACGAATCTAGTGTTAAAGCCCGGAAATTCACGTATTTTAGGTATAAAGCAAAAATGATATCATGGTACTGCGAGACGGAATATAGCAGGTAACTGAAGTTTCAAACAGGTGAATTAGAAGCAAACACACAACCTGAAACCACAAAAGTACTTTTAATATCTAAAAGTCTGTTTCTGTGTTTACCAGGTTGATTTGCAGATGTTCCGTTCCCGCTTGTGGTGCTCTGAACAGCTACGGTTGTCTGAGATGCCTGGGTGATAGCCTGAGCAGTGGTGGATTCCTGAGCAGTGGCCGTGGTAGTTGTTTGAGTGGCAGACTGAGCAGTGGCCGTGGTAGTTGTTTGAGTGGCAGACTGAGCAGTGGTAGGTGGTTCAGTGGTTGTTGTGGGTGTTGTAGTGGTAGATTCAGCAGCCGCTGTTGCTTGTTCAGTGGTAGTGGCAGCAGCGGTCGTGGTGGTGGCTTCTTCAGTGGTACTCGCAACAGTTGTAACAGATTCTGTGGTGGTGCTAGCACACACAACTTTGAAAGAAGAAAAATATTGATTCAGTGAAGATATTCAACGAACGTTGTTTGCGTTTGACTTTATATAACGTGACAAAATAGCTTGTCTCATTGGCACATACATTTCTTGAAATTCTATTCTGAAGTGCATTGTTATTTGAAAATTCTTCAATACTGTTCCAAGCAATAAAATATGAGTAATGTCATTTTTGCGAGTCTGAATTTTTTTTTTCCTGTAAGTGTAAATCAAGTTGACATTAAATAAGTTCTGACAAAGCAAGCAACATTATTGCTATGTTAATTTATTCTGTAATAAGTACAAGAAGTTCTTTTTAAAATTCTAAAATTACTTACATTCGTAGAGCACTAATGAAGAAATTACACAAACAAATAAAATTGGTCGTGGCAACATCTTTGGAACTGAAAAATAATGAAATATATCGGTTAAACTTTTCAAACCGTTAAAAAAACTTCATCGTCTTGTGGCAGCCACGAGTAGACTCATGACCCTTGACGATGTGACAAACACGAGTAGACCCAGGACCCTTGGTGTTGCCACAATCATGTGTAGGCTTATGGTCCCTAATTTTGGGACAGCCACGAGTGGACTCCGAAGTTCTGACGTTGCGATAGCTACGAGTATGCTCGGGATCCTCGACATTTGAGGATGCAAATACATGTAGAGAAATAATTGTTATTTCAGTCCCATACTTGACGCAGAAATGCATCTTTTAAAGTGTTTATTTGTTTAAAATAATGGCAGAACAAAAATTAAAGATTAAACTTCTGTTGCAATGAAAAACTCGTACATGTAACAGTGGCTACATCTTCGCTTATCAAGTGTCCAATTCGTATCCCACCAGTTCCTTCTTGACTGCCAAGTTTCAATGTTCACACGCTGTCGTTTCAGGGCATCCACTCATATGCATGAGACTGATGAGACAAACTCACATGAATTCATTTCTTTGGAAAATATAATATATTTGATTGGCTTAAAGTTGTTGCAAAGAATGATAACTCGATGAATTCGCTATAGATGTATCATAACAAAAATTGCAGTAAATACTGCGTATAAAAATAAAACAGATTTCATGAGTTTGCACTATTCGGCTTAAAGAGATGGCGGATGCAAGATCTGAAGATAAAAATCATCGGAATCAATTTATTTATATTTATTTGTGTATGTAAAGATGTACATGTATTTGGTTAGAAGTAATTACAATGTAAAGAGGCTGACCAATAGAAAGTAAACTTTTAACTTAGACGGTCCCACGAAAAAAATCATGGGAATGCAACTGTTACTTACTTGTTTATGAAGATGTATTTGGTTAAAAGTAATTAAAAATGCTGACCACTATAAGTTAAACTTTTCACTCGGATAATTCCAAGGAATAAATCATTGGGAAGCTAGTTATTTATTTGTTTGTGAAAAGATGGATTTGGTTAGGATTAATTAAAGACGCTGACTACTGGGAATTGAGCTTTGAACCTGGACGGTTAATATGGGTATAAAATGAGCGGACGACGGACATACGCCAGACAAGAGCTGGATTGTGTCTGTCTCTGTTTCATTTTGTACAGGTAAGATTATTTTGTAGACTTGCGCGTTTTTGTAAAATTATTAAGTTTTCAGATAATTTAAGTTATCTACTTTAGTTTATTTACAGGTTTGAATAGTTTTTATTGTGACACAGTAATCTTTATTATAAGGTTTAGTTTTGTGTGTAAAATTATTTATTGTAATCGTAAAATAAACGGATTTTCTATTTAATAAAAGACAAGAGCTGGATTGTGTCTGTCTCTGTTTCATTTTATACAGGTTGGGAATTAGAGCCTGTGAGCCGCTCTGGTCAATAAAGGTCCTCTGGTCAAAAGGAACGGGATATTGAAGATAAAATAAAATAAAGAAAAAAACTGAATTGAGTCGGTCCGACCCAGCTCAAGGATTATTAGAGTTATTTCACTTGGCGTGTCCTCTCACTGAAATAGCCAAGATCTAGGGTGTAAATGAACAAACCTATAATCGGCCCAATGTCATTCGGGACTCTGTCTCCTCAAACTTTGATGGTTGAGGTTTAATAAAAAGGCTTCTTAGAGGCTGGAGTCCAGGATGAGATTGACCTGGTTATAATAGATGGCCGAAAAAATATCAACTTAATCTTTCAAGGTTGGTGGACATGGGTGGATACGAATTTACATGGTAACACCATAATCTTTTCGCAAAAGTACAAACTGATCACTAGTACCTAATCCTAAAAAATGTCGGTTCCCTGGGCAGGGGATTTTGATGTTTTATACTCAGGGGTCCGTTGTTCAAAAGAATTCAAGCTTGCAACAAAGACCCAAAACTTTAGTTGGTTGTAAAATTTTGCAAATTTTGCAACAATAAAAATACCTTAAATTCTTCTTAAAAAGATTAAAACCATTTTCAAATTAATGTAATTACAAAGCAGAATTCAATTTGGTCTCAGTTGTAAGTCCTTTCGTGAAATGGGCTACTGACGTTTATCCACTCAATGCTACAGACATACATGCAGAGGGCAAATAATCTTATTGATAAGGTGTCACTGTGAATTGTGGATTTTGGAAACTACTGATGAAATAATCATATTTTTCTCGGAACCGAAATCTGAATACCAGTACTACATTATGAAATGTCCAGATTCCTAGCAAATATAGAAGAACACGATGTTTCCGAACCCCGTACTTACTCACTCAGTATTACAGATATATGTAATAGGTACAAATATCCAATATTTTGACATGCATTTTTTAAAGATAAATTCAAACATTAAATGTGAAGAAAGAGAAAAAAAAAAGCCTTTTAAATCAAATTTTCAAATTTACTTTTTAACTTTTTAATATCATAATCTTTGGTGCTAAATGATGGCCTCTTTAGGTATGCAACTTCGTATGACACAACATTTTTATAGAATTGGAGAATGTTTCCAACTTCTTAACGATTATTTCAATTTGCATACACCTTTTTGCTTTTTGTTTCAAAAATAAATGTTACTATATATATATATATATATATATATATATATATATATATATATATATATATATATATATATATATATATATATATATATATATATATATATTTACCGAAAACTGACATGGCGAGCTGTCTGTTCGATATAAATAACTAAATGTACCTCTAGCTAGTCGCTACGATCTTGAAAGCAGCTCTGAATTTTCAAACACATATATCAGTACTAATTTAAGTACTTATTCCTAAGTTCGCGAAAATATATTAATATTCAAAATATATTCATATTTATCTGTAGTTTTCACAGAAAACTGCATAAACGTACATCGCTAAAAAAAAAAAACTATAGAAACGTTTTACAAAATTTGAACCACTTATAATCTATTACTCATTGATCAATAAAACATATTTCTAAATACATCAAACATCATACCTGTAAGGCTGCTCTGATCTGAAAAACAAATGACGGTTAATTTTTGTTGAAAAGCATCTTGAGTTTAATTTATGGAAACTTGATACTATTCAGATGTAAATACAGGGGAATCATTTTACATCTAGGCACTAGTACGAAGAAGTACTGGCAACCAAGTATAAACAATAATTCACGATCCAAACAAACTCTATTGTTTAAAGAATTAAAAATTTAACATTTTAATGAATCCGTTAACGTTTCTGTATATAATTTTTAATGTTTCCTCCCAAAGTCAATCAACTTTATTAGTCTGCTTGAGGACAAAGTTTTATGGAGAAAAAAAATTTTCTGTGTATAATTTTTTATACTCTTCTCGTGTACCTTTATAAAGCATCAGGGAACAAAATTTGTTTTGGACTGTTTTGGAAGACTATCATTATGGAATTTTTTAAAAATAATGACCTCTACTAGTATAATATAACTATATTCCACGTGTGATCAAGTTTTATTTGAAATTTTATGAGAAGTAGAAGTTTGAAAGAATTTTTCAGACAGAAATCTCTATCTTCAGTCAGGACAGAACTAGTCATCGAAATATAAAACAGGTAATTAAACAGAATTATGTTCATGTACCTTGTTTTGAAAGAATTTCAAAGAAATTTTCGGTAATCATGAAACCGCAATGGGAATCAAAATCAGCACGTAAATTTTTGCACCTTCTGAAAACAAAGTTCTACTGAAACCGGAACACAACCTTAGAAAGAGTACGTGTTTTGTGTCTTTTCCTTTCGGGAGTGGGGGCGGGGGGTATCTATTTATTTATATATATATATTTTTTAAGAGATAAAAAAGGATAACAGGCACCCTGGGATCAAGATATAGACTGACTGTAGGCTGAATTCAAAAATTAGTTAGAAGATGTGCATTATTTTTTAATTGAAACTTTAATTTTACAGATTGATTGATTGATTCATTTAATTGTATGTTGTTTAACGTCCCTTTCGAGAATTTTTCACTCGTATGGAGACGCCACCATATGCCGGTGTAGAGCTGCAAATTTTTGCCCTATGCTCGGCACTTAGGGCCTTTGAGCAGTGAGGGATCTTTTTCGTGCCAGCACCTATTGCGACATGGGACCTTGGTTTATTTGGTCTCATCCGAAGGACCAGTCTCTACGTCCCACAGTTGGATTCGACCCCGTAACGTAAGAATCAACTCCTTACTTCGCGACTCTGCCAGTCTGGAGCAGTCGCCTTAACCACTGCACCACGTTCGCGGGCAACTAATTTTGCAGATATCAGGAGATTCTTAACATTTTTTTTATTGAAATTTTTTTTTGACTTTTATGGTACCTCATCCCGGGGATAAAGAAGCAAATACTATAGTCACCGTGTATATCCCAACATGCGGGGTGTATACTATGTTGTGCGCGGGGTGTATGCTTCCGAAGCGAGAGAAAGGGGGTCGAGGTACGTTCTTTGTCCGTTTTCTCAACTTACGGATATTTTTCGCCAGAGAGCATGTGCCTACGGAAGAAAGCATTATCTAAGGAGTATATGGATACCTAGGTATCCACTGGACACCTTCTAGTTTTATCAAAAACCTCAACACAATTCCGAGGATCGGAGCAAGATTGACGCTACACTGTGTTTATGATCAAATAAAGCTTTGCTTTATCATTACTTTTATATTATTGTAAAATACATGTTTACAATATAAACATTTGTACAAATTATCTGTAAACAAAAATTATCTGTAAACAAAACAGTTGTATATAAAGATATTGACGAAAAATCAATGTTGTGTCCGGGGTGTATGCAACATGTTGTACGTGGGGTGTATACCCCTTTTCTGTTTACTCTATAGTATCATAGTCTGAAATATTAAAAATTTTACTTAACAATTGATTTTTATGAAAGTTCTATTAATCTTTTAAATTATTCACCAGCTTTGTAATAGCATAACTTCAGGTTCATGAATTCGATTTGCTGGAAAAAATTGATACAGGTTCATCGCACTTTTGGCTTTGCATGCACATGGAAGTAAATATTAGGGATGTCAAAATTGTCAACAATTGATATTCGAATATTCGATAGTACTATTCGAATATTCGATAAAATAAATACATCTTACATTATAATATGTATACATCTTCACTCTTTTGTCAAGCAATATACGTTTTATGTCATTATTTTGGAATAAAATTTCATGCAGTTTTGTAAATGCACTATATTACATGTACGTTCTTAATAAAATACTTTACAGAATATATGAAGAATTTACATCCAAAATATCATAAAAAAAATTACCCCCGAAAATTCAAAAGATTCTTTTAATAAGTTCCAGATTAATTAATCATCTTACCAAAGTGTACACTGATAACCCTACAGATTCATACCACACTGAATAATTATCAAATGGAGAAACATTAAAAGCAATTACTCTAAGCTAATTAATTTCCTGATAATGATTTTAAATGATGTATACATAAACAAGGGATCCATGTGTGTTACTTAAAAAATGTGTCCTTCCAACAATACAAACTAATTCTAAGTACTGGACACTGTTATACCTCTAATTAAATGATCAAATAAATAATTTTTATTATTTTAATAGATACACTCTTCACGCCTTTCAGGTAATCCAAGAGGAGTGTCTTTTAATTTTGTTTTAAATAAAATCTTATTCTTGGTCAACGATAAGAATTTGATTCAATTTCTGATAAAACTTCAGTTTTTGTCAGATTTTTTTCTTTTTGATGCTTGTATACTTAAAATCCGAATATTCGAATCATAAATTTATATTCGAATATCAACTCATCGAATGAATATTCGAATATTCGTTGACATCCCTAGTAAATATACAGGGTACTTTGATTAACTCTTTAATATGATGACCAACAATTCATCACTTCTTTCGATTTAAAGGCACCTTATTCAGATCCTTCCTTAATGAATGCTTCACACATGCATCATTTTGAACATTGACATTTTCTCATAATTTCTTTTTAACTTTTTTAAAATATTCTTTAAATGACGTTAAAAATGGCTTTTTGTAATGTCACAAACACAGCAAAAAATGTTTTCCGTCATGTAGTATTTATATGCTGTGTACTATGCCCCCAGGAGCCCATATTTGGCAGTAAACTATTTGTTTTATATTGAGGCATTTTACTGAGTAAATACTTTCTAGGAATGGGTCCGAAAAGGGTGTGTTTGTGTCTTAATAGGTCATTTTTTTTTTGGGGGGGGGTTACTTTACTACATGTACGTGTATATATATATGATAATAAATTAGAGGAGGGATGAACATTAATTGATATTAATTACACGTAAACGTAAAATTGTTATTGTACCCAAGACAGTATTTTTTCAATTGTGCATGATGCCCTCAGAAAAGTGTCGTCCCTTAATATAAATGTGCATTTTATAGCCGGCTTTACATGTTTATTGTGATTTGTAAAATATAAAATCTTTTCAGATAAGGAAAAATGAGTCCACATATTGCGAAAATTGAAAGGAAAATTAATATATTATACAAACACATAGTATTACTTCCCCCCTTTTTTTGTTCCAGACATAACTTTTCACTATAGAAAATGTTCACCGAAAGACAGGTCCCCCCTTTTTTTTGTTGCAGCATAGTCAAATAATGGTTATGTAGTATGTTTCAGTTAAAAAAAAGGAGAATTGGTACTGAAAAAAGAAAAAAGATGGAACCTACAATCCCATCTGAAATAGGAGTTTTGAGTTCCGATAAGCCCCCCCTTTTTTTTTTATAGCTAGTCAACGTATGTCAAGTTTTTCTTTTTCAGGTACACCCCCCCTTTCAAAAAAGATATGCTGCATCACAGTCATAAATGCTTAAGAATACATAATTGTAATATATAGTATTAATAACATAAATGTTGCAGAAACAAAAAAAAGATTTATTCATAATACACCATTCATGTAGTGTTTCTATTATCTTTAACAGGCGAAATATTTATAGATTAAAACGAGCTGAAGAAAGGACAGTGTCCTCAATGCAGGGGGGGGGAGGGGATTTCTGATTACGTAGATTTAGACCATTGCGCTATCCTACAATGTAGCATTAGTTCAGAGAACAATCACTTCTTGCAAACCTAGTGCCTAATATGTTTAAATATGAACGTTTCTTTTTATTTATCAACACTATATGTCGCTTTTAAACCTGTGTAAATAATATTTCCATTGATACTTCGCACTAACAATCCTAAGAAAAATATGGGGTATATGGGGTATACACCCCATGTACAACATGTTGCATACACCCCGGACACAACACTGATTTTTCGTCAATATCTTTATATACGAACTTTTTTATTTACAGACAGTTTGTACAAACGTTTATATTGTAAACATGTATTTTACAATAATATAAAAGTAATGATAATGCAAAGCTTTGTTCTGATATTTGATCATAAACACAGTGTAGCGTCAATCTTGCTCCGATCCTCGGAATTGTGTTGAGGTGTTTGATAAAACTAGGTGTCCAGTGGATACCTAGGTATCCATATACTCCTTAGATAATGCTTTCTTCCGTAGGCACATGCCCTTTGGCAAAAAAAATATCCGTAAGTTGAGAAAACGAAAAAGAATGTACCTCGACCCCCTTTCTCTCGCTTCGGAAGCATACACCCCGCGCACAACATAGTATACACCCCGCATGTTGGGATATATACACGGTGATAGCATAGATTTAGGTTATAATTTTCTAAAAGTTTATTATAAAAAGAAAACTATATAATAATTTGAAGTGTTTTTAAAATCGTTTCCCTTTCTTGTAAATGTTCTTTATTTTGATTTTCGAGTGTCAGATCATAAATAATACTCATTTTTCAAATGAAATGCCCGAAATTTTGATCTCAGTACGTTAATACTCGGACTCCTATTAATGAATAATTATGATTACCGTACAAGACATGTAATTCAACTAAGAATGCACGTATTTACTGCTAGAATATTCACCAGTATCAGATTATATCTATAGATAATCAATTTTTGTCGTCATGAAAACTAGGTCTTTATCGCTGACAAGAATGACATGGATATCCAAACTCTTGTTATAATTACGGACGGAAACGATTAAAAATCACAGAAAATGTAAATGAATTGAAAAATACTATGGGTTTACGTGCTATTTATGTGACAGTACATCGGTATGTATTCCGTATCGATATCATGCAATTCTTTATACAAAATCATGATGCGACTCAAAATTTAAAGTTCCTACTTAAATTTCATTTTATACCTGTATTTGTTATTGACATTAGATTAGATATGACTGTATATATAAAGTACAAGAATATATACAAACTGAAAGAAATATGCCGTATCCAAACTGATATTTTTCGATGTTTTAGCTGGTGACTGCTGGTCGATTTTTTTTTTTGTGCATGTGTACCAAAATGCATGTACAACTTTCTTTACCAAAAACTTTTTACAAAACGAAGAAACAATTATAGGGGCTTCGGACGCTGGGCTCTGAGTTTATAAGACATTTAGTATATCTACACCCCCCCTCCCTCTGTTTTACACTTAAAGCTGTCGAATTTCTTTTAAATTACTAAGCAAAAACAATTAACATCTTTTAATAGAATTATGCACCTAGTGCATTTCCCGTTTACAAAGCAAAAATCTTCTAAGGCTACAGATAGTTTGTGCACCTCCATTCTTAAACATATTAATTCTCGTTATTATGAAAGTTTGGAATTCACCAACTACCTCCTAATTACGAAAAAACTATGAGTCACTGTCAGTATGTCGAAATTTTATATATGTTTATAACTTCAGTCTTCATATAAATGAAAGGATTTTTTTTCCTTTTAAAAAATGAAATAAATCGTCTTTTCTTAAAAATGTTTTTGGGGCATTTCTTTTAATTAAACTTGTACATACTTGTACGTGTCTTAATTTTTATTCTTTTATTTTAGGTGGTTTAAATGTTAAACATCAGTTTGAGATAAGAAGTGGTGTGCTTCTGATTTGGTGGAGTTTGCACATGTTGGGACAGTATTGAATTTGTTTTTCTTGCAGACTTATTTTATTACACTGTATACTTAACAAGATAATTATTTATATATGACTTAAATTCCAGTGGTGTGGAGGTCGATTTCGATGAATTTATTTATATGCATTTCTGATTTTTTTTTTTAATCTTAAAACATTCCAAACTTTTATAGATTCACAGAGTCTGTGAACTAATAAATGCAAATTAAAGCCATATATGGCGTAACTGATCAAAAAAATATATTTTTGAAAAATACAAAATTAAGTAAAGTAATATAGTTAATACATTTAAATTAAAACTTTCCATACAATTCTGAACACGGAGAACACCTCGTTTCAACTAATAATACGATTTTATATTCTCTTTAATGTGTTATTTAAATCTTTTGTATTTTCTTCCGAGTCGGAGAAAATTCCGAGAATCCGAATTAAATTGTGATATCTTTATAACGCAATTGACTTAGATTTTGTAATTTACGGAAAAGTGCTATCTTTATATAAAGTAATGATACATATAATAAGTTCTTATAATTTTAGTCTAATAATTTTCATTCTACATACGCCATATATGGCTTTAAGTAACACCTAGGACAATCTTTGATTTAAATTAAATATGCAATTTAATTCAGTTGTCAAAGTCATACAGGGTGACTTTGGAGGTGAGGAGCCGAGGTTTAGTATATGCAGAGAATGCAGTACTCCCAGAGAGTGTTGCCAATAGTGAATACTGTGTTTTAATTTAAAGTTGATGATACATCTTTAATCATTCAATTAATTTACGATCACAATTGAAAGAAACTATGCATATCATTCACCCATCATTGAATTTACTCTGTTATCTTGTATAGAATAAACTTCCTTGCCAAAATATAAATTAAAATACATGAAATTTATTTTAATTAGAGTAAGTTCCAGCTACTGTTTGCAGAAACGGACTAGATTTGATTGACTGTAATCTGTCTCACATAGCACCCCGGGGACAGAATAAAGATTCTCAAGGGTTCAAACCCCTTTATTTTCGGATAGAACACAATTATATTTGAGAGATCAGCAAACTTTCACGGAAGATAGTCTTCCAACTCTCTCCAGGAAGACCTTCTCCCAAATTCCTTCACATGCTTAGGTGTATACAACTGTATGTATGTACACAAGGAACAGACCTGTAAAACGGTTTCAAAGGGGGGACTTTACAAAAGTGCATATGTGACAAGCAAAGGTAAAAAGACTAAAAACTTCCAAACACAAAAATTAATCATTTCAGTAAAGGAGGTGGTGTTGGCATTATATAGACTCCTCTCTAACTTTTGTTCTGATCCTCCAAATGACCCCCAACCATCACCGCCACTTTCTACGGGAAGGAAAATGTTGGGTGTGTGAAAACACTGGCCTAAGTGGCCATGTGCAGAACGGTGACTCCTCCCCCTTTTCACAAAATATATCTGGATTCGCCTATGTAACCCAGGCTTACCCAGCCAAGAAACACATAGTGATAGCTGTGAGGTTAACCCTCCATCCCCACCCTACCCCCAACCCCTGAATCGCCACAGGTTATACTCTACTTGATCATTCTCTATCAATAACACTTGGGTCCATATCAATATAAGAACACTTCCATCCCCAAACAAAAATCAATTCAATTACGTTTGCCTATCCTGCAGAATCCGTGCAACAAACCGAATAGTGTGTTTTGAATGAAATGATTGTTAAGCCTAATACGACTTTTGTTGAACTTAAAAATAATATCATCAAATTTTTAAAAGATACCTGCGGATAATTAGAAAAATCAAAGAATCCCGCTAAATCACTTTTTCTGTGTCTGTTTCGTTGTGACGTCACTGAAATTTCAAAGACGTCCCACGTGATAGAATAATCAGCATCACTTGTGGGTTTTGAATATTACGAAAGCCTATTAGGGTCTAAAATAAAAAAAAGGTAATAACGGGGAAAACGCGATGTGAATAGGTGGGTGTTATAAATATAACTCAATAAAGGCGTATTCACGCGAAGTTAAAAGACGTTATTACGGCTTTATAACACAATGTCAACATAGGTACTTGTGGACAGGACCCCCCCCCCCCCCCCGATATTCAACCTCGGGGATAATTTATATTTTTTCACATTTTATTTTGATTACACTTATTCATCATGTTTACAACAGGAAAAAATCGTCAAAACCCCAAAATAATCGCTCCACAAAAATACCCCACTATACATTATTATGTATCATCTAATTGTTCTGAAAAAGATTCTAAACTCTTAAAAGATATACAGGTTGAAGCAGGTAGAATTATTACTGGATTAAGGTGTAACTCTTCTCGTACAAAATTGAATGATGAACTTGGATGGGATCTCCTAAAAACAAGGAGAAAAATTCATAAGTTAATATTATTTTATAAAATTATTAATGGTTATTCTCCACAGTATCTGTATGATCTGATTGAACCTTATCGCCCATCTAGTCATTCGTATAATCTTAGAACTAATAATGCTCAATTTAAAATTCCTAATATTAGAACAACATCCTATATGGAAAGTTTTCTCCCCTCTACAGTCAAACAATGGAATACCTTGCCAAATTATATTAAAAATGCTCCAGGAATATGTTCATTCAAAAGTCTTTTAAAATCTCATTTCTGTAGGAAAAGTATTGAACTTTTTAATTTTGGAAAAAGAAAGTATAATATAATACATTGCCAGATAAGGAATAATGCTAGTAATCTGAAAGCAGATTTATATAATCAACATTTAGCTGAAACTCCAATGTGTGAACATTGTACTGATTGTATTGAAAATGCCTATCATTACTTTACTGTTTATCCTAAATATACAATTCCAAGAGATGTACTCTTTCAATCAACACATGATATTATAAGCTGTGATAATATTCCCGAATGTGATTTATTTTTAAATGGTAGTTCTAACCATGGACTTGACATTAATATACAAATATTTGAAGCTGTACATACATTTATAGCAGCAACAAAACGTTTTATATAAACACTGTCATATCTATATATAGATATAATTTTTATTTGTTAGAAGTACTCCCAAACCGGTACTACTTTGTATTTTGTCTCCCCCTGTAATTTTCCCTTTTTGTTATTTTGTTCATTCTATTTTTCTCTTTTGTTTAATTTTCTACATATGACTTATTTTGTTTTTTTTTTTCTCTGTTACTTTGTTCAATTTTGTTTGTGTTTTTTTTCTTCTTTTGTACATTCTTTTAATATCACTATTTGTTCTGTACCTTGACCTAAATGTAGGGAGAGGGCTAAAATAGGCTGCGCCTGCTGCCCAATCCTATTCACGACAACATCTGTGAATAAAATATTGTTTAAATTTAAATCATTAATCTTTTGTTAGTTGCTACTATCAATTTTGAATTTCTTCTTGTATGTTTTTTTCATTGCCTGTATGCCCTGATGGGCCCCAAATTGGTATTAATAAATCTTATCTTATCTTATAGTGGGGTATTTTTGGGGGATGCGATTATTGTGGGGTTTTGACGATTTTTTCGTGATGTAAACATGATGAATAAGTGTAATCAATATAAAATGTGTAAAAATATAAATTATCCCCGGGGTTGAATATCGGGGGGGGGGGGGGTCCTAACCTTTCAAAGATCAGTAGCAACTTTTTAAAATGTGGGGAAGGGATTTTTATTTGATTCAGTCTTGTTAAAATATTATCTTATTAATTGATATATTTGCAGTACAAATAGTGTCCAGGTTACTTTTATTATACACTCGTTTGAAAAGTGGGGGGGGGGGGGGATAATGTTCGCCTGTCTGACTGTACGTCCGTCTGTTACTCTTTGGGAAACCCATCTATTATCTACAACTCCTCTTATGCCACGGAATGAAACTGAACGAGAATTTTACAGAATCTTTGTGACAAAATGCCATTGTGACATCCTATTTTACTTTTTGATCTGACAAATATTTGAGGTTTCCCATAGCACAATATGAACACTTCCATTCAATTGAAGGGTACCCATCTCTTATCCGCAGCTCCTCCTATACCAGTAAATAAAATCTTGATACTTTCACCTTTTATACTCGCATCTTTTTTTTTTCTTTGATCTTACACTTATTTCGGGGTTTCTCTGAGCGACATGAAAGATCCACCCCTTGCGTATTCTGAATTTCCAGGCTCGATCCTTTAGTTTCAGCAAAGAGGTGTTTAAAATCAGAAAAAAAAACCCAATAACTTTGCCAAATGTTATAATCATATGGGAGGTCAGGTGTTTATTCCATTTAGTGAGCTCAGTGCTCACAGTACCTTCATGTTCAAATCTATAAAAATTTCAAGTGATAATTTTTTCAATTTCTGGAATTAAATGAATTTTGTCTTAACTTTGCTGCAATCAAGCTGTAGTGCGAAATATCTGACGTTTTCCTGGCTTTTTTCACAATTTTGATATTTTACGTTTTCCTGGCAAATATCAAAATCGTGAAAAAAGCCTGGAAAACCAGATATTTTGGACCATGTACAATCAAGCAAGAGTGTATAACCTAATTTTTTTGGGGGGGCCATAGCATTTCGTTTGTCCTGTAACAGCTCATCGTTACAAACCATGGCTTTCATGTATGACCCTCTCCCATGCAGACTCCCGACCGCGAGACTTGAGACCATGGTAACAGCTCTATATACTGTAATGAAATGAATTGTGATAATGATCTGTCCAGTCCTTTTTACCAAATTCAAACTTCCATGGCATGTTCATATTCCCTTTATTGGTCCGTTGAGTGATGGAGAGAAGTTTGTCCCTTACTCCTTTACAATCCCCATCTTCATTTCCTCCTGTTTAAGAAAAGGACTTTCAGAAAATCACCATGTCCTTACTTTGATCAAAAATCTAGTGATAATATTCATTTAAATAGATATAGGAGTTATCGTTCTTCCCCTATGTCAACGATCAAAATATGCTTCCCAAAACATTTTTAAACAATTATAATTTATTTAGATATGTTCTTTATAATAACTAAAATTTACGACGGCGTATTCGTGCCATTTAAACAATGTAGAAATATTTTTTTTAATCGTTTGTACGATTTAATAAATCGTTTGTACGATTTACTAAATCGTTTGTACGATTTAATAAATCGTTTGTACGATTTAATAAATCGTTTGTACGATTTAGTAAATCGTTTGTACGATTTACTAAATCGTTTGTACGATTTAATAAATCGTTTGTACAATTTAGTAAATCGTTTGTACGATTTAATTTAGTAAATCGTACAAACGATTCAGTAAATCCTACAAACGATTTATTAAATCGTACAAACGATTTAGTAAATTGTACAAACGATTTGTTAAATCGTACAAACGATTTAGTAAATCGTACAAACGATTTAGTAAATCGTACAAACGATTTAGTAAATCGTACAAACGATTTAGTAAATCGTACAAACGATTTAATAAAAAAATTTCTACATTGTTAAAATGGCACGAATACGCCGTCGTAAAAATTCCTGGTAACTGGTTGGACTTATTTTTTCTGCTACGTGGGACTTGTTTTAGTAATTACTAACACCCCCCTTTTCGAAAGCTATATATATTACTCGTCATATTGGAAGGTGGAAACGAATAGGTTCGAACGATAAACATCTATGGATAAACTTGAAAGGTTTACTTCATCTCTTTCGTACAGTTATGAATTATGTAACAGGGACGTAGCAACGGGAGGGGGGGGCAAGGGGGGGCCTGTTCATTGAAAGGCTGGTTGGCCCCCCACTTTATACTAAAGTAAAGGAAGATAAAGGAAATATAGAATTTTAAGCTTAAAAATTGGATATGAAAGGAATTGGTAGTGAAAAAAGTTTGCCTCTACCCCCCCCCCCCCCCACGAAATAGGATTTTCGACTTTGGGCTTTTTTCCTTTTTTTTTTTTTTTGCTTGTCAACTTTTTCAGGTAAGTAAAAAAAAAAATTTCTGAGGCTGGCCCCCCACTTTCAAAATCGATGCTACGTGCATGCATCTTAACTCAGGGAGGAAAATTTCGTTTATGAAAGTTGGAAGAGGGGGTCAAAGAAAAAAATCAACTTACCTGAAAAAATATGACAAAAAGTTGGAAAAGAAAAATATCCATGGACAACCTAAAAAAATTCTATTATATTATTACACTGCTTTGTTCGACTATGCTGCAGCAAAACGTGTGTGGGGTGTGTGTTTCAATGAAAATTTTCAATTATAAAAGTTTTGTTTGGAAAAACGTCTCCTCACCGATACTTCCTGTCTGTGTCTTCGTTGAGATCTGGGTCAAATTTATTTTCCACAATAACGTGGAGTTGAAAATTAACTTTTAGACCCCCCCCCCCCGCCACCCGATTTTAGATGCCTAAATGTAATGTTCACCTGTTCTTTTGAAGTAGGATATTTTTCGAATCTGTTTCAAATCGTGGGAAAAATGGGGAGGCAAGGTATACACACCTTCAATCAATGTGCATTTTAAAACTAAATCAAGAGTAAAACTTTACGTTCGGAAAAGAGGGGGAATGGGGGTATCTCCCTCCAAATCGATTGCTGGTACAATGTTATATTTGAAAATTTTCAATCTATTTAAAGTCCAATGTAGAAAAAAATAAATCCTTGTGTTCAACAGGAAAGCCACGTGCAGGTGAACATAACATAATATTTTTCAACAATTTTAGATCTCCTTCAATTTGAGAACTAGGAATAATTCAATGATATAGTAGACGTTTCTTGAATTTTCTTTATGTTTCCTTTTTAGGCGGAACAACCTTCATTATGATAAGTTTAAACACGCGTTCTACATTGGGCACATATTCAAAGATTCAGGAGTGTATAGCTGGTCTATCCGCTGACCATTCATCTTTTTGTCCACAAAAACTTGTCTATTACTTTTCAATGGTTGGTGCTAGAGCTTTTACATTTCAGATATTTACGTCTTTATGACAAGGCCTTTCTTTTGGATATCAACTTATTTGATCTTTGGCCTTAGATTTTATCCTTGCTTGACCATAACTTTTGAACGGTTAGGACTTTTATTACAGATGTTTATATACTTCTTGACCAGACGTTGCCAACATTTTTAACCTTTTGATCTTTACTTTAAAGGTTTACCTAGGCCTAATTCCTGGAAATCTCAACCTTGGACATATAATTTTGAATGTTAATAGATGCAGAGGTATCATGGGTATGCATTTTATACATGTGCATTCTTTGTGACAATATCTTTTCTGGGGTACCAACATTTTTTATCTTCAGATCTTGACCTTTGAGTTGAACTGACTTTGGAAAAAAAATTAACCTTGGCCTTAACTTTTGAACAATGGGTGCTAGGAATTTCTTGTATCAAATGCGCATTCCTGTGACAATTTTTTTTTACTCCTTTCCTTGACCTTTGAGTTTGACCTACATTTGAAAAATATTAAAACTGTCCATAAGTTTTTTTACAGTTTATGTTATTTATGTCATTTTTATTATTTTCCTTGTGACAAGACAGTTGCTTTGGCACCAATATTTTTAACCTCATGAACTTTGATTGTGACCTATATGAACTTTTGTCGAAAAAAATTTAACTTGGACATATTTTCTGAACTTCAAGAACTATGGTTTTCATATATCACTTATTTATTCCTATTGACAAGTCCTTCCTCTGGGTTACGAGTTACATTTTTAAACTCTTGACCTTTAAATTAAAGCTTAACTGCATTTTAAAAACTTTAACCTTGAACTTCGATAAGTTGACGCACAGTGGCATCAATTTTTCCTAGCCATGTCCTATTCTTGAAGTTCTTACAAACAATATGAGAAACATGAAACTATTATACAATTGTATAGCCCATATATCAAATGAACAAAGTATTGACTACCAAAAACAAACAACAACATACATGTATGTATCAGACATACAGTTTATTTTGATTTAGTGACAGTAAATGCTACATGGATAGAATTAAAATACACCTGTACAAGCAGCTTGAGAACACCTTTCTAGTTCAAACTCTTTCAAATGTTCACAGTCTTTTATCACAGAAAATTCGATGTGTTCACAAGTACAAAATATCCTGCAGTTCATGGACATCAAATTAAAAAAAAAAAAAGAATCAAAATCAGGCCACCATTTTAAGTAAATGTACATGTATGAATTATAGGCACCCTCAAATCTATCTTAGAGAGAAAAAAACAACTTCCAAAATATATGTAAAAATTGGTATAACACTACCCTATTATACTTTTTTTACAACCAAATTTTTTTAAACGAATTGAGACAATCATAATACACATTCTGTGCAGCAGTTATGTTTTATTCATCTAAATCTTTTTTTATTTAATTGTATAAACTGTTTTCTTGAAATAATGCCCTAATTTACATTGGAGTAGAAAAAAAACTTAATGTCTCATTTTAGCAGTTTTATATCTTTATCCATAAAAAGAATATCTTGTTATCAAAGACTTGATAAAATATCTAGTTCACATCACCAACCTGTACAATATACATGTACATATTGAGTAAATTATTTTCCAAATGAAATGTTTTGCTATCTGAAATTTTCAAACTATGTTTCCTGATTTTAACTTTTTGAGTATAAACTTTCTGTACTTAAAATGTCAAGGTTTAAATATTGACCGTAATGGTTTAGCCTGAGACATAAACTGAAAACTAAAAAAAACCAAGGGCAGATAACCATACAGTTTACAAAAAAAACAATCTGAAGTTAGGACTAGTATAGCACTATATAAAAACTGATATCATAACTTGACAAAAAAATCAAATGTACATCCTAGCTGATGTGGCCATAAAATTCAACAGAATAAAAGGTTACAAAAGCTGCAAGAATGGCACATTTAAACAAATCATACTTAATACAAGTACATATTCACCAACAATGTATGCAACAATAATTGATTAAAAATTTAGACTAAAAAATTAATGAGTGATGATATTTGGATTAAATTTTTAATACATTGTAATACATCATGTTCTAGTATGTATATAATTTGCATTTTGCATGCATCAAAAGTTTAGGGGGAGACACAGATCCTATACAAAATTCATTCTTCGTTTTTTACAAAGTGGCCTGCACACAAAGCGTTATAGAGCATTAGCTTTGATTATTAAAATCTTAAAATGAATAAAACTTTTAAAATTATAATTTTAAAAATCCCTATGGCAATTTAAAAAAACAATAATTCAAATCATTATAAAGATCTGAAAATGATAATTTACTGGTACTTAACCTGACCTGACATTGATGACTCCAAGATTCAATATCTTAGGTGTCTGAATATTTCTTTCTTTCTTTATAAAACATAAAGTAATGTCTGAAAAACTTACAATAAAAAGTAATTCTTTATTAAATTGACTGCATGTCCCAAAATTAAAAAAAAAACAAAAAAAACACAAGCTTGCCCTTTTTTCAATTCCTGCACAAAATAACATTTAAAATATTGATACCCGTACAAAAATAAATTGCCAAGGCAATGAATACTTTGAAACTTTATCTCTGTGCAAATCAAAATGGATGAAAAAGTAACAAAATATTAACAATACAGTAAATGCTACATGTAAAAAAAAAATGTGCAATATTAAAAATGCAGGTCAATCACTGAATTTATTTAAAACAAAAATGTTTTGTATATCCAGTGCTACAATACATTAATTTTATGAATTGACAAAATTTTTACATGATTATGTATGATTGGTATCTTCAAAGTTTATGGAAATTAGAACATTAAAACAATGATGAATTTATGGAACCCCTGAGAAACTGAATGATTAATTATAAGTTAGTTTGACAAAATGGCAGATAATTTATGACAGTGTTGATAAAAGAGATGATAAAATCATGTTATTGATTACTACATGTATTTCTCAATCAAACATACTGATCAGGAAAGATAACTCTTAAATGCTTGTCAACCATTTAGGAAACCAACTTCTTTACACCAGTGTTGACAACTTTGTGCCTGAAGGAGCAACATGTTTCACAGTTCTAAATGGTTTATCATAAGTACTGCCATTAGGTAGGGCTTCTAAGCCCCTCTTCTCAGCATACCGTCTCAGTGGTCCATCTGGCAAGGTTGAAACATTTGTTCCAGACTTGATAATGGGTTTTTGAGGTGGCACAGTTTGACTTTCTGTACTTGATTTTTTACCTGCTACATCCTGATTTGAACCACTTGATTTGTTCTTCTTTTTACTGAACATTCCTCCGAAAGGATTCCATGAAGATTTAGATTTGGAAGAGACACTTGCTGAGGCTGCCCTTGGTCTTGGTTCATTTGTACTGGCCTGATTTTGAGCATCCACGATCCACTGTTGAGTGCAAGGCATTGCGTGGAAACTATGCCTGCAGGAAGCTGGTCTCTGTAACTGATCACTGATATTGTCCCGAGTTTGAAACAATTTTTGAATGTCTGCAGAACTTGCAAACAGGGGCCTCCTTCCATTTTGAGTTAAATTATCCGAAGACGAAAAGTGCCCTTTTCCTGGCATTCCAGGCAAAGTCAAGTTTTTCGGAACTCGAATATTGTCCATACTCATGTTTGTGAGTTGGTAGAATCGTCCATCAACAGAACCAACCCCAGAACTTGCATTTGATCTATACGAGGAACTCTCTTGTGAACTATAGTCTCGAGAAAGTGACACATTTCGTGGCAGGGATCCAACTGAAGACATGGGTGGTGGACACAGTCTTTCACAGCTCTGATCTCCATACTCCTTCCCATAATATCCTCTGGGGTTATAATAATTATCACTTCCATAATTTTGCTTTAACACTTTGTCTTGGAAGTAGAGCACTTTGGAATCCTCTGTTTTGACATCGAAATCTTTGTCAAATCCATAGTAATTCCTGTAATTGCGATCCATATCGATCATTTTGTCATATAAATCACCTTCAAATTTTTCAAGGTCAGAGGTCACAGATTCCAGAGTGTCGTCTGCACTTGAAACATTTTGAGGAGAATGCCTCATTTTCACACTAGAACTCCTTGATCTTGACACTCTGTCACCACTATTTTCACTAACATCATTGGCTTGAGTATTATCCTCTTCTTCAATAATGGCAAGTTGTCGAAGCTGTTCCTGTAACGAGCTAGATTCTTCTTTGGCTTCGGCCATTTTGGTCCTGCGTCGGACAGCCCAGGTAGTTTTGGAGGAGTTTTGAATTGCACTGTTATCCTGCTGCGTAGTTGAGGTAGCTGTGGCTAACTTAGGTGCCCCATGAACAATAGAAATGTCTGTGTCTGAAATCACATTCAGAGAAGTCAAACTGGAGGATAAAGGAGACGACACTGTGGTTCCTTGACTTGAGTTTGTTCCGTATCCATCATCCGTATCTTCGGATTTTGGAGACAACTGGCTGATGCTCTTGGTGGATTTTTTATCAGCTTCCCGAGGTTCAGTAGGACTTTGAAACTGAATTTGCATATCGTTACTGAATATTGTTTGCTCATCCTTTTGGGTTTTATATTTTTGCATGCTCTGTGTGATTTTGGTCTGGTTCTTTTCCTCCTCTGCAGTTGTCATCATGATCATGGTATCTGCAGAAGAATCACTATGGTCACTCGCAGAATCCAAGACGTCCAGCATGTCAAATTTCTTCCACAGTTCCTCCGTTGACTCTGGTGTGATGTGATTCAGAGGGGGACTTAACACTCCATTCACAGGTTTCTCCTTCTCTTCTTTAGTCCAGATTTGATCATGTTTTGTCACATTAGTCTTTGTAAGTGGCTGAGGATGTGTCCTGACACCATTATGCTTATCAACAGTTTCTTTTCTAATAATTCCATTTGGAGGTGATATTGCCTCCTCTTTAGAAGGATATGATACTGGCCTTTTACGGATGCGAGGAGGCAATTTAGGGGGAGGGGTTTCCCTCCCTTTCTCAGTTTCCTGAAATGTAGAAGTCTCTGTCTTTTTAAGAATTCCTCTCAACTGTTTCACTCCCCCATTCACAGTTTTAGTTTCTTGTGCATAAGAATTCTGTTCGAAATATTTTGTTAAGAAGTTTCGATTTCCGGAATGGAGACTTAGCCTCTCTAATGCAGAAGTTACTTTGCTACCACATTTGGCCCCCCTGGGGGGTAAAGGTGGTGTTTTGTCCCCATCACTTCCCATCTTCCCCTGCTGTGAAGAAATGTCTAATTGGTGTCTATGATGGATATCTTTACTAACCAGGTCTGATTGTCCCTCCTGGGGCTGTGAATATACTGTCCTGCTATGTCCTTGTGCCTGTGTGGAATTTTGACCTGGGGTCACACCAATCACTTGAACCATCCTAGCATGGTAAATATCATTTTGCCCTGCAGTGCTGGTCATTTTTACTATCTCTTTGATATAACAAGATTTCTGTTGATCACTTCAAGTCTGCCTTGTTATTTAACATGTCACACGACTGGTCAGACTTCATAATATCACTGAATTTTGATCCAATTTTAACCACTGTTGTATTTATCTAAGCAGTCTAGTAGAAAACACATAGAAATCGTCTTTGTCACGCCAGCCTTCTCATGCATGATTTATTAATATTCTTGAGGCTTCCTTTATATTTTGAAAAAGTAATTGATCATCATGATATCTTGGTAATAACACACTTGTATTCCTTTTGTTATGTATTTTTGGGGGGCTGAATATATTTTGTGGAAAAAACTTCCTTCACTCAGTAAATCACATTTAAAAATTATGCACACTGATATGAAAATGAAATCCTTGGCAAATTTTCTGAATGTTTTTTGCTGGTTATAAAAATCCTGCCTTGAATATGAAATCACTTCCACACATCAGATAAGACATTAAATAATGCACATTACGCTATTTATCTCTCCTATAAATACAGTAATCTTGTCTACAAGTTTCACTCAGAAGATAATTTTTTGCCTCCTAGAAGATACCTGCCGAATCTTCTATAAACAAAACTAATCGATTTTTGCAGCAGAAATTGCAGCACGATGATTCACACAAGTTATAAAATCCGGAATAAAACAGATGTTGAAATCTAAACTGCAACACCGCTCCAACTCTCCGAAAGAAGTCACGAGAAAAAACTTTTCCAAATTATCCGTTGATGAACTGTTTGCATTGAACCTTGACACCTTTTCCAATTTTTGCAGCTGGTCTTGGAGTTATAAATGGCCCCTGTTCTTTGGTTATTTACCTAAAGAAAATAATCACAAGAGAAAATTAGAGGTCGCTCTCATTAATATTCTTTATGACAAATAAATTTCGTAGGCATAAATTATCTCTCTAAAGTGACATTCAGCTATTTATACATAATATATTGCTATATAAATTTTTCACACCTACACATGCATGCAAGAACAAAACTGGATTTTTTTCTCACAATATGTGTAGAGGTTATCCTAGTTCAAACCATTTTTTCTTATTTACAAAATATTAAAGATTGCTAATATGTACTCCAATAGGCTTATCTTTCAAGATAACAGTAAAAAAAAAAAAGATAATTTTATAAAGCTCTCAATACTAAACATTGAAAAAAAAATAGAGAATATTTAAACAATGTTGGGATGTTGACAAATCACAGGCGATTGGTGCATCACTGATCAATCACCATTATAGATTGATAGATTCAGAGAGATCAAAGGAAGACCTCACGCATCAACCTGTCCAAATTCCACTCCATATGTTCTCCTTAAATAACATGTCAGCACAAATGACAGAGAAAAAAAAAACATAATCTCAATTAGCTAATAAACTAAGCCCAAAGATGTTGAAGTAACTTTTTAAACTGCAGGGTAAAATAACAAAAAACTAAATTCCATTTTTCTAAGAATGTTTTTCCACCAAAAAATTTCACTTTTTCAATTTTGAAATAGATTATCAAGAGATGTATCATCAACAACTTGTGCAAGAATGATAAAGCACAAAAAACTTACTGTACTTGAACAAAACTCTGTGCATCGCCTCAAAGAAGAATAAAAAAAAAATAGTATACAAAAAAATCCACTTGATGAATGTTAGAAGATAGGTGTCTGCTTAACACAAGTAAAATAATCTGGCTCAAGAAGTTTTTGATACAAGTGTGGAAGAATCCCTCTTGTTTACAGAGAAGATCAAACAACCCGTTCCAGACAGACAACTCAACATGTTGCATATGGCCACTTAAACCACAGCAAAATGCTTCTCATTTCATATCCTTTAGTGCAAAGCCTTCTGATTTATTCAATTATACTAAAATAGAAACAGATGAGTCATGAGTGCGCTCCCCTTAAATGCACTGTGATTAATTTATGAAGGCAAAAAGAGAGATAGAGAATCGCCAGAGAGAATCCGCTTGATTTGTATGTTGTGACCGTCAGAAGGAACAAGAAAAATCATGTATCTTACAAAGTAAACACTTGTTCTGAGGGTAATCATTGCAACTTTTACACAGAGGTGTACTGCAAAACTAAAGACACCAAGTCCGAAGGTCAAAACGACTCCCAGACAGGCGAAATGACACATCACAAAATCTGAAATGGCAGGAATATTATGCAATGTGTAGTGACAAGATGTGTTAATTTAGGTGTCAGAAAAAAACATTTACATTTTGTCATTTGTACGCAAAACCATGCAGTACACATAAATGCTAATTCGTAAATCATTAAAAACATATTTTTGTCATGGCAGATTCACTGAGAAAGGACACGTCTTCTTTTTCTCAGGTCTTCTTTTTAAAATACATGTAAGAAGATATGAGTGATAAAACATACATAATTATGTTGAAGACTGAATTATTGTGAACATAATAGAACATCATGTAAAGTAATTGGCCATTCACAGTCGAGTAAATCCAATTTACAGAATTAGGATGAATTGCGTAGGACAAATAGATATACCCCATACTCATAGGATAAAGTTTAATAATGAAGCCTTCTTAATATAGAGCTGTTTATCATGAATTTAAGTTTTTATTCATTAACAAGTAAGTTTTTAAAAGAAAACTTGGTATTCATTTATTATAATAGATGTTATAATCAAAGAAACTATTGATCTGTATAAGGTCTTCCATAATCAGAGTTTTTATTTCACACTTCTAAATGCAGAACTCTTAATAATGATCCTTAACTAGGTCTGTAATGACTACACAATCCATTAGTACATTTTCTTTGCAATGAAGAAATACAAATAACTTGATCAATAAGGAGTTGTTTAGATCATTAACAGGTACTAAAAGGAACACAATCTTTAGTTTCACATAGAAGTGCCATATCTGATTCCGCAAGCCTATTACCTGCATGTAAAATGACCCAAATGAAAGACGGAAACTAAAATGTATTTATTCGGATAAAATATCATTTTCATATTTCCCATAATGACACAGCGCAAAAGTTTGCCCTGAACGTAAAAAAAAATTTTCAATTTCATTGTCTGAAAGAGAGTAATACAGTATTTTTAAACACTGGCCCTCAAACTTGGAGTCTTTCCTATATTTTTAACACCTTTACATAACTAGTAGTCCCACATTAGCACACAATTCACACCCCGCTGGCAGACAGCGTTTTGTTCAAGCCAATTTTTTTTTTAAATGTATATTTTTTTTTCGGAGGGAGAGTGAGTCATAGCCCTCTTCTCTCCTGCAGATTAACCTCCTGTCAGGCGATTTCAGGTAGCATATTACAAAATACCAGACCCCAAGGAAGGAAAAACGCCATATCTTCTCAACACTGTATACCTGCATAAAAAATGTCTTTTTCATTTCATCGTGAAAGCAAACAATAAAAAAATTATATTGAGCCCCGAAAACAAAACTACAAAATAGAAAAATTTTCCATTAACACATTTAAATGTAAGTTGAACAGGTGGGGCAATTTAATCTCAGCCCAGATCAATTCGAGATGTTGGGTATTGAATTCAATCACTGAATGATGCAACAATTCAAGTATGCCCAGATATATATAAATGAAGACAAAATTTATGTGAATGAATTTAAATGATAATGGCTTGCACTGCATCAACCACAAACAAACAAAAATGTAGCTCTTCACCTATAGCTGACTTTTCTACCTTTTTGGCACAGTCTTCATGATATGGATTGCAATAATTGCATCTGCGCTTGACACTCGCAACAGAATAATAATCGACAAACACACCAATGCACACAGGATTTAAACAACTAAGAAAGAAGTCAATAAACTTTCCAGAGCCAAATTCAATCAAGTTTCACAATTCCACACATATAAATATCAATCGTTCATATTTTGATATCGCATTTATTGTCAGAGTACCTTTTCGAGAGATCTTTGACTTTTAATCAATTTGGCAATGTGCACGGCTCCTACAAAGGCATCCAAAAATTAACATTCTTTGATATAATCCCATAAAGAACTCCCTGGGTATTACCTCGAGCAATTTAACTTCCAAGAGATCCGTAACAATGATCTTTTACAAATGTCCTACAATTATAACTTGCTTGGTTTGTCCATTCCTCAGTGTTCATTTACTGCACCCTATTTAAAAAATACCATTCTACAAGTTAATCCTCAAACCATCTCTGTTGCCAAATTCTGTTAAATATTTCAAAGTCTAAACTGTGTTATGCTGTTTTCCATTTGCATGTCAGGTAAACTTTTATGTTTGACAAGATAGGAATGCAACAATCAATGCATTGGACAAATATTTGAGTTCAAGTCCGGTGTACTTATCACTGTGATGACAGCTGACAACATTTTTGTCACCCTCTCTCTCCTATATTTCCCCCCTCCTTTTAGCCGGTGACACAATAATTACCTATCCCCCTGAATCAAAAGTTGAACTCACTGAACTAAACCTATTTTACAGACTAATTCAATGTGATATTGATGATTTTAATTTAAAACATTTCTTTAACTTGGACACTCCTATTCAGTGGTCATTTATAAAACACACGGATCCTTTCAGTCTTGTACCAGATGCCCCCACCTTGAGTTTTTCTACTTTTCTCCTATACGTTAACTCACCCTTTTCCCCCACATTCAGTTTCAATTTCAGAATGATCAATAAATCTATTGACAAACATTATTCATTGTGGGCGGTTTCCTAGTTTTAGAATTGTGGGAATTAGTACCAGAGACTCCATAACAATACCAGCCCTCATTCTCCATTTACCTGTTTCTACTGTTGAGATTAATCAACAGAAATAGAAATTGCTCAGTAAATTGAATTAAACTGATTGATTGAAAACTATCGCATTTAAAAATAGTTTGGAAAGCTCCAACTACAAGCTACTTTAGTCCATTTTTACTCAATACAGTAGAACATGCTTATAAAGAAGTACCAGGGATGGAAAATTTTGCTTCAGTAAAAGTTTTGTTTAAGTTTACAATATATTTCAGTCATGACAAATGAAAATCACTCCACTATAAGTGTCAATATGTTACAAGGGTTTCTGTTGTGTTTTACTGTATAAATATGCCAATCATCAGAAGACATTATAATAATATGTCCATAATATTTGATTTTTCCAAAATTTATATCACTTTTTCTAGCAAATTTTTTCTAGAATATAGAGCAAATCAATTTCTGCCCAGTTATTTCAAGTAGTAAAATTATACTGCACAAAAACATACAGACAATATGTCCATGAATCTTTCATGAAATGATCACAGTCAAGCATGCATACTATTACCCATATATATGTGTCCAGTCAGCAGAAATTCCTTTAACATTCATGATCTTTAGAAAAAATCTACAAGGAATGTGCTCCAAGTCAAAGAATCAGACAGCCAGACTAAATGTTGACTCAATGGAATCCAGGCATGTGTTAAAAGTCACAAAATGTCCTAAAGGCGTAATGTAGTCCTGGTACTCAAACCAAGGCATACCAAAATAAATTAGTCCAGAATTATTTAGAATCTCACTAGTCAAAATAAGAAATAAGACTGGAACAATCCAGCTATTCGATATGAAAAGTCCCCAACCATTAGTGGTCAGCTAGCAGCAAAACTGTTTTAATTAAATCTCACTTGATCTGAGTCTCCCAGATGTATTGGAATACAATATCAAGAGCAATCTGTATAAACTTTTACTCCAACAGAAAAATTCTATACACTCTAAACTCTAAGGAAACTTACTGTATAGAAGCTGTAGCTAATGACAGTTAATATTCAAATACATGTATCTAATGACTTCCAGAAAATGAAAATAAAATATATTGACAACTTCCTCAAAATGGAGGATTAATTATCATTACAATTCATTACAATATAATTAATCATTCAAATAATTTGTAAAATGAAATAACTTCTGTCATAACCATTACCTACAAAGTAAAACATAAAATTATCTTGTAAGTAAAAATACCACACCTGACGCCTGTGAATCTACAAGATTTCCCAAAAGATTGTAAATCCTTTTTGCTTTTTATACATTAATCTTTTACCCTAGTTGAAAAAACAAAATATGAAAGCAGAACTAGGTCACTGTTTTTGCCCCTGACACACTGTCCATCATTTCAATGTTTACCTGCGAAATTCCGCGAATAATTGTTGTGGAGTCAATCCCACCAAATAATGTTCTCTATCCAATACACTGCGGCTCCTTAAGATTCATCCACTGATTTAAATCAACATCCGTTTAAAATTTTAAAAAAAATGAAAACCACCAATTGATAACAAGTTATTTTCTCAAAAAAATACAATCACAAGGTATTAAAGAAAGAATCCTCCAGTAAAAATGTGTGTGTAATTATAAACAGGTAAAACAGTCTTAATCGAGGCCTGTGTGTTGTGATCCCATCCCACAACTTGGAATGGCCATAATGCCTCCAGTCAATATTGACATTATTTGTACTTACAGGTAGGCCCTATTGACAGGCGGGTAAATTTATTACCAGCTACAATCTATGAAAGCTACAGATAAATATTGTTCAAGTTTAAGTACCCTGTATCAATAAAACAGGTAGAAATTATATACCACGAGAAGCATTGTACACTTCACTCCATGAATATTTCTCTCTGTGCCAGAAGCCGCAAGTAAACAGCAATACTGCATAGTCTTTTCTGTGTCAAGAATTTAGTTGTTTGTAGTAGCTGGCAAAGTTGATGTACTCTTATTACAGGGATGTAGATAATTAATGAATGTATACTGCTCAGTTATCTGGAAACTTGTTTTTTATGCTACCGAATGTGTAATAAAGAAAACAGAAGTTATGCCACAAATCCGTAACGTACACTACAAAACACTATCCAAACAAATATATGACAAACATCCAACAAATATAAACATTGTTTACAGATAAAAAAGAAAGAAAGAAATTGAAACCATACCTATCTTAAGTATCCATTTTCTAAATACATGTCCAATCGCCCTGAATACATAATATTCTTATTTCAAATAATAGAAATTCATCCCATTGAATGGACAGCAAAAGAAGACTAGAAACCCTGTAGATTTGTGTAGGTGCCCTCTTGGGCAATAAATAACACTACTGTAAGAATTTGTAAGGTAACTCCCATAAAATAGCCATGACCATCCCTCATAGCAGAGACACACAATGTGTGACAACACGACATAACACTTATATTATTTCCCTGTGTAAACTTAGTTCAAGAACTAGAAAAAAGTTTTCAATTCAAAAAATAAACCTATGTCTTGTGTGAGGTTACAGGATATATGGGGGAGTATTTAATGTACTCTTTCAGTATTTATTCATGTCGATTTTACAAACGATTCACAACGAACTGTGAAGTGTTGCTTTCTATTTAACCAGGCAACACCAAGACAATTTTAGAACATATTGTCTACATGGGATTGTCCTGGGATATGAGAGTACATATATCTTTTCAGGTGAACTGGATGCTTTTTATAAAGTTAAAATTTTTAAAAAAATGCAAAAGAAAAGTAATGAACTTGAACTTATAAGTATTTTAGAAAATGTGCCAACTGAAGTAGAGACGAGATATTCTTGCAAAATCTTGCAGAATCAGAACTCCGTAAAATATGTTTTTAAAAAATTTCCATAATAATCCTTACAATTATCCCCCCCCCAATCCATTAATTATGTGTACCTTTTATCAAAAGGACCATCTTGATTGAATGATTTTACTCAAATTCTAAGTACATGTATGACCAAACAATGAAACAACAATCTCGAAATTTACATTTACAGATTTATATTTCTTTACCTTAAAATCAAATCCCAAACACAATGCAGACTAACTTTGACATTATGTATTACAAAAGTCACTGGTATCAATAAACTTAGAAAAACCTACTATTGTTTTGTATTGTGATAGAAGACAATAGCTTTTCTCTGTACTTTAATCTGCTACCTTCTTGCCTAAAAGTCAGATAAGAGTTTTATCTACTCACCATCCAGAATTTCCAAGGCATTGAACCCAGTTCAACAGCTTAGGAATATTTACTTCTGACATTAATTCCCCTGAAAGAAATTAAAAATCCATTTTTAACTCCTTGACATGACATTCTAGCGTTCTCAAGAACTTTAATATCATACAAATATATCTTATGGCTCCTTTACGAACAGATTAACATTTTTGGAAAAAACCCTCCACTGGGTTGAATGGGCAGAAAATAGGATTATTGCAGCTTTCTATAGCAGCGGTCAAGAGTCTTTGTTCCTGCTAAACCCAAAGTGTAAAAAATGACTGTGAATTAGCAACTATGATGTAAAATGTACCGGTTGGAATGACCATAACTCAAAACATCAGTCAGACAACGGCTTAAGCAGGTTTCCCATGGCTTTAAGAGGATCGAGGCTGTAACAAATCCATTACAAATTACTCTATTTAATGGCCCATACTTGAGGAATAACAAATCTATACACAGAAACAACCCTTTTTGATCAAATACCTTGCAAACTTTTAGCCTTACAAATGTCTTTATATGTAATATTTCGAGGTTAATCTAAAGTTAATGATATTGTACTTTTGTGTCAATTTTGATACACCAGTAGTTTCATGATACATATGTACTCTAAAGACTCAGTAAACAGTTTTAACTAGGCTATCATGAAATCAGCAAGAATAAAACAAGTGAAAATTAGTGCTTGGATATTTTGTGCATATGGCATATCATGCAATATGGCAACAATTCTACTTTAAATTTTTAATATCGTAAATCTGGAAATTTTTACGACGATTTTATTATTGCAGCTTTCTATAGCAGCGGTCAAGAGTCTTTGTTCCTGCTAAACCCAAAGTGTAAAAAATGACTGTGAATTAGCAACTATGATGTAAAATGTACCAGTTGGAATGACCATAACTCAAAACATCAGTCAGACAACGGCTTAAGCAGGTTTCCCATGGCTTTAAGAGGATCGAGGCTGTAACAAATCCATTACAAATTACTCAGATTATTTTGCGAATATGGGTCAAAATGCTGTTGATTAATTTTTACGTTTCAAAATTTTGTGAATGACCACACTAGCTGCTTTGTTAACATTTTCTTATTGGTGATTTATTTTTAAGAAAAATATTTTTGCGAATGCAATGAACTCGCAAATTTGCAAATAATTTATCTACAGCAAAAATTTCCAGATTTACGGTATAATGTATTATAATTATTAACATTATGTCTAATCTTTTAACAATATTTTTTCACAATTTTTGTTTGTTTGTTTCTTATGACCATTGGTATAATAGTATAATATTATGATTTATGATTAAACAAATATAGGAAAAGTAGATCACCTTGACTACCACAAAAACACTAGAACTTGTATGATCTTCATGTAACTATCATAAATGTGACTCCATGTCATAATAGCTCAGTATTAAAACTACAGTTATGAACAAAATTTATAGAAAATAAAGTATTAAAATTAGCAGTGTACTTTGGTTTGTCTTTAAAAACGAGTTTTTGAAAAATCAAAATCAGGAAATTTAATTGTTAAAAACATTTTTAAGACAAATTAAACAAAACCTAATGGCTGCATTGCAGCCAATCTGGCACCTATAAAAATTCTCTAGAAAGGAACACAATTCAGACCACAAGTCAGATCATCTTTGTAAATTTTTAACCCTAATTTATTTTTAATTACAAAAAATGGGAAATAGCTATGTTTTTTCTATAAAATGAAACATAATGGTTATTAATCTAACACTTTAAATACCTATAAAGATCACAAAAAATAAACTGGTTTTTTTCCTTAAAAATATTTTTTGTTTAATAAATGCATCTTATAATAGCTATTTCAACAACTAACTATACAGTTTTCAAATTCCTGGTTACTGGCATTTACATAATAAATGTAAACCACATCATTTGAAACTTTTAGAATTGGCAATATTGCTTGAAATGTAGACTCAATTGTCGAGTAAAACGGGACTTATATTTCCTGTTCACTATTTTAATTTAAATGTAAGTTTCACTAACTTCTACTGGTACAAAATAATTAGCAGTGAATTTATTTTAAGATGACCTGAAACAGATTGAGATCTTGCAAATTTTCAAAATAGATATAGGAAATTTACATTTTTTTTTTCTTTTTCATAACAACTTTCTGACTCTATATTTTTCAATAGCTTCATGAATACATTCCTCTCATAGAGCAACAGAAATATAGTAAATTTTTAAATAATCAATCCAGAATTTCAAAGCAACAATAAACTGAGCCCTCTATATATAATAGGTCAAGTCCACCTTTTTCTCCGATTTATTTCCCGACGAGATGTTTGTGTGACAGAGAGTGGTTTTTCTCTCTAACGGTTCCACTTCATGGTCATGACTTTGATTTCTATCAACCTTAGAACACTGTTTTCCTACTCTGTCTCTCTCTCTCTCTCTCTCCATTAACATGTATAAATATAATAAGTACAAGCCAACCAAAATCTGATCTGAGCTATTTATAAACTTGTATTGTTGACTACACATGTGTTGATAATGGGACTCCATTAAAAGAAGCACCTTAAAATTTTATATGATTTGTAAAAACATGGCATAACAGTAGTGAAATCTGAAAGGAAAAGTTTCCAGGCTAAGTAGTGTTTTTTATTTTTCTTAATCCAATGTGGGTCTCTACTTGACACATTGTTTTCTTTTCCTTGGGGTTAAAACAGATAAAGCCTCACTAAGCAAGGATGGCACAATATGGTGTGTATACCCTTCAGTCAAAATCCTAAAAAGACTTTCTCTTTCGAGATGTCTAACACTAAAACCATGCCTTGAAGTATTAAACTGAAAACAAACATATGGAAAACAGGGGCTAAAGAAAAACCTATGGATTACATAAAAGTACACAAAATGAAAATTTGAACTTATTCATTAAATATTAAAGATGAAACTAAATATGGTTTAGGAATGAATCATAGTGGAAATTTCTGCCCAAATAACAAACAACAGCAGTTTTAATTACAAAATAATCATGTAAGACCATCTCAGTTCATGAAAACTGACCCTTCATTGAAAGAAACCCCTTGAGTATATTATTGAAACTTAAGGTACAAATCACGTTCTTTAAATAATGGCAATATTCAACTAAAACTGGAAATTTCAACACAACATACCTGAAAATATCTAGGAGTCTGTTTTGACATATATAGTATAACAAAAAATGAGCATCGAACTTGACATGGGAAAAGACAAGGAATGCCTACAATGTCTTTGTTACAGCATTAATGTAGGGGATGATGGGTCAATCTGTGAATATACACTAAGTTACCCAGTATAAATGTACTCCATAATATTCATCATCTATCTTACAGTAATGGCAAGGTACCAATCTATGTCATTTATGAGACAGAAAACCTTGTTATGACATATCACATGTTCATGATTTTTTGGACTCTTCCTTTTTGTTGAAAAACATGAAAAGATACTGTATGTTTATACTCTCTTATTCATGGAAAAATTCTTTAAAATGGCTGAACTCAAAAGTTTTGAGAAAAACTGAAGACATGTATCTGACAATTCCAGATACTGAGGTCACAGTAATTCAAGGTGCACATCCTTGCTTGTTTGATGTTGAAAATTCAACTGTATGTATCCCACTTAATGCCATATCATATACAGTAAATCCATTACCGTGGTATATTATACATTGTTTTCAAAAAATAAAGTGGTGCAAAAAATAAAACCATCCATATCACAAACCAGTTCATAAGACAGGGGTAATACTTTTCAAGAAAAATTGAACCTTATCCAATAAAGCAGGTAATTCCATCTAAAACAGCATTCTGTATATGCATCTAAAATAATTTGAACTTCTATTTTGCAACATCTGATATAATGAAATACAGTATCTATTTTGCAACTTATATTCACATAATTGCAAGTTCACAATTTTGGGGCCATCGAGCACATAAAAGTACATGCACTTACTGATATTTCTCTATTTGCGTCATTCTACTGAATGGAACTGACTTTCTGTGAAAAAAGTTTTCATTAACAATGCAAATGATACTTCAGATTAAGAATATTAAACAGTTAATTCACAAAGGCTTGCAATAACTGATTTTTAAAGCTTTCAAAATATTGAAACTCACCATTCATCAATCAACCCCTAGGAATTCCTTCGATCTATTTGTTTTTGAAAATACCTTGATGGAAAATGACCACAACACTGCATAATTTTTTTGTCCTACGTTCACCCAACATCTATAATAGTCAGTTAGAAGATTAACAGTTCTTGGTCCCTTGCTGCGCTCTTTGAAAGAAAAACGTTCAGGGGCATTTAAAGATTTTCTTTAGACTTAATTTAGATGCTTTTGTCCAGCACAATACTCCCGAGCACTTTGGAATAATGCCACTCAAACATTAAAAACTGATAAATACTGAAAATATTTCTTTTCTTCCATATCACTTCTATTGTATTGCTGCTTCAGTAATACGCAAGTTGACCTAGATTTCAGATCTTCACTTGCTGCACACCATACATTATTTTTTTCCCTGCATTACACTTTACACCTTTTCTAAAATTACGTGCTTTGAATTAAATTGAAAAGAGCTACCTTTGTTTGAGAGATCTGTCGACGGAAAACGTTTTTGCGTGCTTAGGTTTATTTATTTCATGGAAACAAAAATGATTTTTCATCAAAATATGACAGTTTAATAATACATACAGATGTCCCATAACCACAATGGCCTGTTTTGAATGGATTATTTTCATATTTATACCTGGCTCTATATATGCTAGCTCCGACAATATGCACAATAGGCATCAATGCAGCAATAATTATAGTTTTGTACTGTGATGCACGGAAGTTTGTTGAGTAATTATGTATTATGTAATTCTGCTTTGAAATTCAATGATCAATATGAATTCAATCAACTCAATATTAGTAATATTCTATACAATCCATCGCAAATTGGTCTGTACAATTTTAAAACAAAGCAAATATACAGGTATGACTGTTTTAATCAAACTGTGCATAAAAATCCCAATTAAATCAAAGGATTATCAAAGCACAATTTGTCTGCACC